AATGATTTCTTAGCAACTCATGCATCTGGTTTCGAGAGGACAAATGACGATATCTCTGTTGCAGTAGAAAATCGTCGGAAGTCCAGTTCAGTTAGGTTTGATTCATTCGTGAATAAAGATATTGAAGGCGAGATGTCACGTTGGAAGCAGGGTGTAAATAGATTTTCTTTGCAAATAGCGAGGACAAATGTTCCGAGCGATTCTCAGGTAAATGCTTCTACTCATTCTATTCATAAAGATCGTAATTCGATTCGCAAACCTACAAACTCGAGCGTGATTTCGCACGGAAATTCAAAGCCGAGTGTCGTTACTAATTCTTCTCGCTCCATTGACGATCAGCACGGTGACTTGAATAATTCAGAAAGATCAGCGCATGGCGTGGACACAGCCTTGATTCCGAATTTTAAATCTGAAGTCGTTGGTCAATTCCCTGCGTTTCGCCACAGGAACGCAGCTACGTTCCATAGAAATTTCGTTAAGCTTCGGTATCCGTACTCGACTTCGAATTGGCGGAATGCCAGCAACGTCGCATTGAACATGAAGGTAAAGAATGGTAACGATATTTCTACCGACATTCAACTGAGAAAACCAGCAAAGCACTTTACGCGAACAGGTGCGAAGAAGCCCGTCAGCTTGAACATTCACGTGACGTCCAAACCGATGAAGAGTAATCAATCTTCGTCTGTTCAGGAATCGCCGAGTCAGAAAGTTGGCACTGAAAACAAAACGATGGACAAATATAACGATACGACCGTACAATACGATGCGTACTTGAAAAACTGGCCGAATGATGCAATTCAGAACTTTGAAGATCTGTATAATTATGAGAAATATACTTCATCTCTGGACGAGGAATCGAGTCATGAGTCGAGTCTTTCCAGTGCTGAAGAAACACCGATCCTATTGTCGAACAACTATTTTGATCATGCGGACCCAATCCTTGATTCCAGTGTAAAGAAGATCATCCATTGGTTAAAGGTGCCGGAAATCGTTCCGAACAATACGCAGTATTTCGATTACAATGATGACAAACCGATCGAGTCGAATTTAGAGTCGATTTACGAAAACTTGGAACCCAATCGTCCGTTGAATATCCACGACGACAATTATGAGACCGTCGTTCTTCAAGGTGTACCGCTGAGTCAGAATCTTGATACAATAGACTCAAACTATCCAATCCGGTGGTCAAATCCAAGTTCAATTACATCTCTCAAATATGAAACGGATTCTTCGAATCCTTCCGCTCCTTTGATTCCTTCTTCCTGGCCTGGTGGAGCATTGTTGCAAAACAAGACCGTTTACAATCCTACAACACACGTGACACAGAATACGGTGGTTCATATCTTGAATGATGATCTGAAGAAACCGAATGTAACCGTGACTCAATTGAAAGCACCGGAAACAGACGCGACAGCTGCTAATCAAGCGACTTCTTCAGGATCTTCTTCAGAGTCCTTGGCGCAGAGACCCAACGTTCATGTAATGTTCACTTCTCAGAACGACGAGAATAAAAATATTTCCAAGCAGGAGATTAATACCGCCCCTTCGACTTACAATACAAACTGTCCGACGATTATGATAAATACTTATACTCGGGTGAACAATACGCTTCAAAGCAAGGAAGGATGCACAGATCTGAATATAATCGTCAATTCGCATGTTTTGAATACTAATGTGTTTAAGCCAAGCAGCTCACCGGCGACTGCGGAGGATCATCAGGCCTCATTAACGACGCAGAACTACGATAGTACAGATGAAAGCGAGAAATATTCTGATGTGCTTACCGATCTCTCCCATGTGGATTCTTGGAATAGTTACATAATCGCTTCGACCGGAACATATGATTCTAACTTGCTCGAAACGCAACCAGATCAACATGACTATGATTCCCAGAAAGATCCCAATGAAATTCTAGATCCCGCTCAATCTTTGGGATTGTCGACCATCGATAGTCTTCACACAGTTGAGGTGTCCCAGGGCATCAGCGTTTCATTAACGAACGCGGAAGAGAGCCCTGCTGACGGTCCCGGCAATGACGCGTCAAGTTCCGCTATCAATCCACCAGCTGCTGGTGCTTCTGCGAGCGGGCCATCTGTTGCCGGAACTCTCGGTTCCGAAAATCCATCTGTGCCCGTCGTTCAGGAATTGCCGGTGTATTTAGTCAAACCCGGTCCGGTGACCGGTCAGTCTAATGTTGGTCCAGGTTCCTTGCAATTGTCAGCATTACCGAATCTTCCCAGTCTTAATATCGCAACTAAACCCGGTTTATCGAGCAGTGCTGGTTCATCCTTGTCGTCGGCTTCAGGAACGTTATCCGACAACGATGATGATGACGATGACTTTGATTTTGATTTTGATATGTCGCCAGGCGACGTGTTGCAGTACATGGCTAAGGCCTTAACGTATTTTTCCTTTTTAAATCCGTTGGGTTATGGCGTCGTCAGCCTTACTTCAGCACCGTTTGTCGCAATGGCGGCTGGTATACTCGGCATAGCCGCGTTCATCTTCCCGTGGGCACTACCGAGTGCCTTCGAATTCGGGCGCTCCGCTGACAAGACGATCGGTTTCACACCGAACCTTGAGGAGTTTGTTAGACAAGCCGTGCACAAGTATGATCGTCTGAACGAATGGAAGAGTAGACGTAGGAAGCGCAGAAGATGAATCGAATACCGATTGATCTTGTAACGCTTGATAAACTTCAGGTAAATAGGAGAGCCATAGTATAAAGCTTGTATGAAGCAAGTACGCTCCCGCTATTAGAATTACTTTTACTTAAATTGGATAGAAATTACAAGATATACCGAGTGATCGTATGCATCATTTGATACGGATTGAAAATGATACGTGGTTAGTAGAAAAGCAAAGAAAGAAGATAGCTAGATGATTATGTTTGTTTTTTAAAACATTATGTGGATAATGTAGCACATATAATGATAATGCAGATAATTGTATAGTATTTTCATTCATTAAGAATGAAGTTTACTCGACTGGGTGGATGAAATCATAATGAAATAAATATAATAATTAATAATTTTCGCATCCGTCCTTCATAAATATAATTTATGTAAAATAATTAAGATGATTATACTCACAAATAATATATCTTATATAATATTTAATTTTTATTTTTTATTCTTACGCCAAATGTAGCATAGTAAGAAATTACTCGCTATTTACATGATCACATAATTACATGAATGGACGACAATCAATGCAATAATTAACTTAATATTTTATAACGTTACTATTAATAATTATTAATTAACGGTATGTTACTATTCATCGTTATTATGTGTAGAATAATGAGAATACTGCGTCATTTTTTTATCGTATCATATATCTATGAAAATTTGTTATGTAGTATTTAAAAAAGATGCTTTGAGTACTTAAAATATTTAACAATATTTAATATTATCTCTTTGCGGACTAAATTTCTCATAAATAAGTGAAGATCAAGTATTTCGTTTATAATTTTATTTAATTGGAGGGGTTCAACACTAATCAAATAATATTTATTATTTATTCAGAGAAATTTATTGAGATTCCAACAACATGGTTTGTTGATTATAATTATATACCGCGATTACTGTAAAAAATTATTTAATAGTTCAACTCGACATAAGACAAAGGATTATGATTTAGTGTTTCTTTTTGTATTGATATTTTAATTTAATTAAATTTTACAGCATTTCAGGGCATTAACAGTATTTGTGCCAACGAATATGTAATGTTAATAAAATATTACAAACAAAGATTAATATTTCTCTTATTGGGCAATTATAGTATATAATTTCTTACGCCTTCTTATATGCTGTATAAAAAATATATGATCCTATCTTTATACCTGCGATCCCTCTAAATCCTATTTTATTATTGTGGTAGAAAAATAATAAAATTTATCTTAAAGGAAGAATCTTATTATTATTTTAAATTGTGTCAAAATTATCGGATGATTACGCTTACATTTTATTTATTTACTTTAATTTCTTAAACGTATCAAGTATAAAAATACCTTTTGCTCCATCAAGATTTAATTTTTCGTAATTAATTTCTTTTTCAGCTATTGTGACTATGCTTAAAAAATTTAGATTCTTTTATAAATTAAATTCATCTTATAAATCAAAATTGGAAACCGAAGTTATAATCTATTTCTTCTTCTAAACTTAGATTCGCGGAAATCTCTTATTTTCGATTGCTACTACTAATTAAAACAATTAATTAAAAATTACTGCTTCTAAATTACATCTCTCATGATAGAAAACGATTTAAAGTTTATAACTGAGTTATAAGAGCTTCAATTTAGAGAAAATCTTTTTATTTTATTCTGAAACATATTGTAGATAATAATTTATTTCAATATATTGCTGCATTGCACTTTATTACTTTCTTAACTTACAATTAATTGTACTCATAGTGTTTGACAAGGTGTCAATCTGTGCAAATAAGCCTTACTTATTGCATAGAAAAGGTAAGAAATTTAATAGCCATTAGACATTTTTGTTAATTCTTTAATTCATCCGGCTAACGGCTATATATTTATTCATAAAAATTATTAGTAATAAATGAGAGAGAGAGAGAGAGAGAGAGAGAGAGAGAGAGAGAGAGAGAGAGAGAGAGAAAATGTGTGTATATGTATATCTTATTATTATATGAATAATTAATAAAAATCATGATTCAGAATAAAATGAAATATTATCATACAATATTTATTATAATGACATGATAAACTTATTTTTTATATAGCGCGATATGAAGCGCGATATCCTATTATGTTAATCATGTTAATCATGTTAATCATGTTAAGTGACAATGATAAAAATTGGAAATGCTCAGCGAAATTATGTTTTATAACTCCTCAACAAATCTAATGATGAAATTTTATTTCAGTGGGCAAGTGAATGATACTCATCGTGATTTGAAGGATCTGCAATATATGGATCAGTCTCTGAGAACCGTCGCCACTCAACTTCTCAACGTTACAAATCCACAGGACGTGGTAAATGTGAATAACAAAGACCTCATCAAAGCCGAACACAACGTCGCGACTACGCCAAAATCCTCGGAGAACAGTGTACCTTTGTTGATGAGGGATGTTAGTTCAGAAATCAATTTAGAGCCTGTGCATTTCGGTAGGCCAATTAATTCTAAATTCAGTTATTTCGAGAGTAGTCATCCAGGCCAAGCGATGGCAATGACGGAGGAAGAGCTTGAGCGAGAGATGAGCACAACGAGGCTGATTACCGCCTACAAAAATCATCCGACAACTACTGGCGGTATCTCCACTTGGATCCTACTGAATCCACCGTCCACAACCGTAAAGAGCGTAGAGATCGAGAAATCGAAGACACAGCAGCCATTCCAAACGGAGGTACGACTTACAGTAAGACCAAGTTCGTCGATCGAAAAAGAAACGATTCCGCAGGTAGAAAAGATCACGGAGAAGACCACGCCACAGTTAACCCCTGTTATAACCACCGAAAAAGTGACTATAATCACAAAGAAACCGAGTATGACGACAACAAAGAAAATCGTGACTTCGAAACCGGAGAAAGTTACTCAGAATTCAGAAAAGAATTTGGAAACATCATCGAGCACAACTTTGAAGGTGATTCGCACTACAACAACAAGCACTTCGACGACGAGTGATGGAACAGCTACGTTGACTGTTCTCACGACGAAGAAGAATCAACCGCCGCGAACTACTTCTAAGCCGAAAATTACCACGCCGAGAACAACTTTGCATTCTAAGCCGGCAACAACGAAACCGGCCTCAATGAAACCGACGACGACGAAACCAGTGAGACCAAAACCAACGAGGAAACCTACAATCAAAAACGAAACGGTAAAGAATGAGACCTCCACATCGACTGGTAAAATCGAGAAGGTGACCTTCAAACCGCTCTCGATCATCACAACGCCGCAAGACAAGCTGGAAAATACTGAGAAACCAATGTTCGTTACGAAGATAAAAGCGTCAGTGCTCATGGACACTCAGAAAACTCCGACTACTTTACTTCCGGCTACCACCGCGGCTACCGTGAGTGCCAGTACAACGTTCAAGTCGAATTTGTCGACCGTGGATCTCGTAGAAGTACCAGTAAGATCGAAGCCAGTCAACACGAAAGGAAATAACGTACTGAAGGTGCAACTGAAGAAGCCTATTGATGAGACCACACAAATCGAGATAGAGCCAATCAAAGTAAACGCACCAATTTTGACAATCGAGAAGGTCGATAACATGGACGAAATCATGATGAAGGATACGGACGATCTTAATGACTCCAGAATAGATCTAAAATTTGACTTTAATCCCGAATTGACCAAAATTAACGTAGAAACAAAAGCGGAGGCGGATGCGGCGACATCGACAAGCGCGACAGCGTCAACCACGACGAAGCGGCCGAGGCATAACTCGAAGAGAAAGAAGAACAAGACTCGAAGGCGCAAACCTACTACGACCTCGGCACCAACCTCGACGATGGTGCCCGTTCTAATGGAAATCAACGAGAGTGTTACTGATTCTACCATCACAGATAACGCAGTCCAGGAATCGAAAATCGCGCCTGAAACAAAAGTTGGGGCGAACACGACGAAGACTAAGAAGAAGCAACCGCAGAAGGCGATCAGCACTCAGATTTACAACTTCCTCAGTCGCGAAGTGATGCCTAGCTTCGGCGTCATGTCACTGGTAGGTTTAGGTCTTGGCCTCGCTTCGTATTTCCTGTATCCCTTCGGCGGTACTATCACTCGAAGGAATTACGACGTGGAGCCGAATTACAAGTACAATATGGATGAATATGGCGGTAACTACGGGCAGAGCGAGGAGGAGATGTTATCCAAGGTGTTCCAGGGTATGACGAATTATGAGAATAAATATCCAGGAACGAAAGATAACTACAACAATAACTACTATCACTATCAGCATTATGATGGTGCATATGATACTCAAACGAAGAAGGTCGAAACGAGATATCCATCGGTGTCTACTTCTCCTGTTTACAAAGCCGTGGAGAACACTCAACCAGCAGTAAAGTATCGGAACACGGACTTCCAATATCCCGAAGCACAAACCACTCCAGCTTTTTATTACGATCGCAAACGTCCAGATTTCGCGGAAGTCGGTACGAGTTCAGCGGCAAATCGGCAATTCGTAGTTGGTAACGTACCTAAGGAATATCCATTCGACGTGAAAGCAGCGAATTTGCCGGTGGACAACAAGAAAGGTTACATGTCAACGGAGGTTGGACAGACGCAATTTGAGCGAGAGGTATCGCAGAACTTTGATTTCCCGAACGCGGCCGGGTTGCACAGTTATGGCCATTTGGGAGCATCAACTATCCGAGTGGATGACGGATACGAAGAGATTGAAATAACGCCAACAGCGGTGGCCGTCGAGCACGGACCGCGATCTCTTAAGGTCAAACGTTCTGCCCTTAACGAGGGTGGCCGAGGGCGACGCTCAAGATCAAAGAGGGAGTCGGTAATTCAGATAATTCCAACGAAACGTGAACTGGAAGAAGAGCGCGAGGAGGCAGAGAAGGAGGAAGATCTGAGCAACGAGATTCTGGATATCATCGATTCGGCTCTGCCGGGTGGCGAAGTGCCACACAAAACGAAGGGTAGCAACGAAAACGAAGTAGAGGATCTCGAGGGGCAGAAGAGGAAACAACAAGAGGAAGCTAATACGCGCGTAAAGGAGTCCACCTCGAAAACTACACATACAGAGGACACGACGGAGATTCCCACGACTTCCACGACCGTCGGAAAAATAGATGACGGCGATACTAGCGTCTCTTCAGAAAAGTCTACTGATACCACGCATCCCACGGACTCGAAGGACCCCGAAACAATCGAGTGGTTCGACAGCTCGACCACGAAAAAGCCCTCAGAGGGCTTCAGTCTTATAAATTTTGTAAAGAAGGTGGCCGAAATTAAGTTCAGATTGGGTCTGACAATTCTTAAGCATGCCAGTGAGGGTTTCGCGCGGTATCTAGGTCACGTGCAGAAGAGAATCAACGGCGAGGAATGAGAAGGAAGCGAAGAACTCGGAGGAGCAGCGATGGAAGTTCTCGAGTCGTGTGGCGATACGCATTTTCCAATTTCACGGCGCAATACGGTGGACATGCGGCGGATAACGGCGATGGACGACGTGACGACAACCGTAGTCCTGTAGATAACGGTAGTCGAGGAAAACGAAGAAGCGGTTTCTCCCCCATCCTCCCTCCCCCCGACTTCTTCGCGGCCGATTCGAGATGCGATTTCACGGGCAATCATTTTTGTCCATCCATAAACGATGCGATGCGATGCGATAGACGATCGTCCTTTCACTTAGAAAGCTAAAACAACGAAGGGGAACACGGACTACTGTTACGATCACCGAATACGCGTCTCCTCTTTCAAGGTATCGCCGTGAACGTTGCAGATGGGTAACGCATCTTCTTTCAGGCTCCTCCTCTTCACGCGAGAGTTCGACGAAAATGCCCTCAACGTGTTCCCTACAAAAAAAAAACTCTATTCGATTAACAAGGTGTTTAATTTTAGCCTTCGGGTCCTTGCGTGAGAATGCCTTTCGACACGCGATATACAATGTGATAAGATGCATTCTAGGGATAATTTATTGAAAGCAGGACGATCGAGATAGACGCGGGATTGGTGAGGGGTTTCGAGAGATTTTTCTCTCTCTCTCGCTCTCTTCCACACACAGGATCGATTGGATCTTTATTGAAAGTCGCTTTTTAATCTCTCTACAATTGTTTTGGTATATGCGCACTGCTCTCTTACCCTCTCGCTGGAGGGCGAGCGAAGACGTATGATGGAGCCGATTATTGGGCAGCTTAATTACACTGTAAAGTACGCTATATAATTGAATAAATAAAATTGAACGAATAAATAAATAAATAGATAAGTATGTAAACTCTCTATGTAACACCCTGATATACGTTATGTAAATAAATATTGGAGAATGTAAACGTTTGTGTTTCTCTCGCGTCAAAGCGTAACATTGATCTTTAAAGGTTGCTGCAATATTTCGAGTCTGAAATAATTGAATCATAAATGAATTTATGGCAACGTAATTAATTTAATTTGTTGCAAACGAAGCACTTGTTGCATCGCAGAAAAATTGGAAATTTACATTCGCTGACGATGGTTTGATCAAGCATAAAATATAGATAATAAATGTTAATGGATGGCGATTAAAGTTGGAACCTGTTACGTTTGCTTTTACATAATCGAAGCACTGTGTCAATAACAATTGAAATGCGGTAATGTAAAACGATGAAGCAAAATAACGCTTGGATATTTTTTTTTCAGTATAATTATGATGGACTTTTTACCCCCAAGTTCACTCTTTACTCGGTGATTACTAGAACAGCAACAGGTTGATTCTAAATCGATCTTACTTATACCCTCGTCTGTATGAATAGGAATACATTGATTATTCAGAAACGTATTCAGTATTAATACGCAGTCTATAGTCTGATTACAACAACGCAATGTTTGGAAAGTGATTTGCACACTACTTGACTTCAAATCCAATATGCGATCGAAAAATTTAAACTTTATCTTTTTGTAATTCAACCTTTGTAAGTAAGATTTTTGGTAGAAAAATTCTATATATAAAAGTATGAGACTATACACTCTAATATATATGATGTAGCGTTTTGTTTAATTTAATATTACGAAACTAATTTCTAATAAAATCATTTTCGTTTCTGGATCCTCATTGTTATATCCTATACTTCAACGTAATTCTGCATATATGTCATGTGCTGTATTTTCTGTTATTCATCATTCTAATGAGTTCCTCGAACGAATTCTGCTATTTTAATTCCTATAGTCCTACTGATCTCTTTAGTTGAACGTTATATTCCCCCGCGAGCTTATGCAAGTTTACTTCAAGATTGTTGTTCATCAGTCTCAGATCTCTCTTTCGACGACCCAGCATCATCGGTATCATCATCGCCATTGTCGCCGGCAACATACCTGTCATTTCACAAATGGTACGATAATTAATTCAAACAAATGTATTAATTCAAACAAACGTATTACGCAAATTGGATTTAAGTGAACTTTTGTCATCGTTCTTTATTAAAGTAATTAATGAATTTACTCTATTCGATTAAATAACATTAAATTCACTTTTGCGATACGAATTAGAAATTTCCATAAAAACATTAAAATTATGTATACATATATTATTATTTACACATTAATAATTTTTTATTTTTTTCATAAATTAAATATTCGACTTTCACAACATTTAATTTTATTAAATGGCAAAAAAATTTAAGATTAGAGCATTTTTAAATTGTTATTAACTCAAAATGTAAATCTCTCAGATATAAGCAGTTGATATATGTATTATTTTGAAATATATTTTAAGTTAATTTGTTACAGCCATACCTGCTCCGACGGCTGCTAAAACGGCTGCCGAACTTGATGGTTTCGTGCTCAGAGTTGTATGCCTGATTGGTCTTTTGTTCAGAATGTTCGGTACGTCTTCTCCACTTCTAAAAGGCCTCCGTGGGACGTCGTCGTATTCGTGCCGTTGATCGATGGCAACACCGTCAATCTGACCTAGGTAAACGATCTTTCATAAAGTGGCCGTCGATAATATTTTTTTCAATAAATCTATTTGTCACTAATAATAACTATCTCCGTGAAATTAAATCATCTGATTCGTATTGATATTAGTATCACAATACATCGCGCAATATTTTGTTACAAGTAGAACACAAGTCATCATGATATCAAAATAACGTCCTAAAATATTTAAAAAAATTTTTCAATCAGTAATGTTTCATTTAACGTCATTTTAACTTCGTGACTTGTTATTTTGCTTGAATAATTATTGTTAAAGTCAGATCCGTTAAAATGAAAAGACAAATTGCCTGATACAAGGAAAAGGACATACTTTAGCTTAATTAAAATTTTAGCTTAATTAAAACTATTGAATTCTCTTTGATCATTTAGCCTAACCTGGCGTTTCGATGTCATCACAGGTACAACCTCTTCTTCTTCTTCCTCCTCCTTTCCGCGACTTGTCGTATTGATTCTCTTAAATGGTTCTGCTGAGTTTATTGTATCAAACTTGATTGATCTCTGCCTCGACTTGGAATATCCTCGGTTCGTCGACAAGAGAATCCACTGGCCGTCGCCACTCGCTGGATGACTCGGTGGATGATTGTTCACGTACTGATAATGCGAGAAATTCGGCCTTTCGGTGACTAAAGTTGGCCGAGGTCGATCCTGGTCGTATTTGGATGAGTAATCGTGCCAATTACTTCCATCCCCCGATTGATCCGAATATTTATCGATAAATTGATATGAGGAGCTCTGCGGTTTGGACCAAGTACTGGGAAAGTTGGACGGTCTGTCGTCTGTGATGATATCGCTACTGGGACGATGAGGATCGTACTTGTTCCATAACGGTCTCTCCGGCGGCCACTTCTGCGCCTGATTAGACGCGTCATCAGGATGGTAAGAGGGACGTGAAATCGGTTTCTGCCACGGTTTCTCGCTACTCTCTGGCCAGTTGGGTTTTGGCTTGTCGTACCTGAGATACGATCGTTTGTTTTCTCATTTGCCTAAAGCCGATATTTCGTCGAGAAGTATAATATAAAGTAAATAATAGATATCCAATTAATAGGCAAGTAATGCAATTTTTAGAGAAGCTTGAAGATTTTTTATAATTATAAAAATTATAAGTTTTAAGATCTTTACTAAAATGTTAAGAAATAAAAAAATTATTGATATTTTTTTGTAATAAATCTTATACTAGCTTTATTTATAAAGAAAGGAATAAAGCTGAAATAAAAAGTGATTAAATTTTTACGAGATTTTTTTGATACATTTCTTAATATTAATGTAGAGAGTATCATAAAAGGTACACCTGATGAACTTTGTAAATACATTTATAAGAAAGAAAGTTTTGTATCGATGCTAACGATAAATATCTCTCATCATAACAACCACAAAACCCATTTTCAAATTGTACATAAGATCACGTAGTGAAAAGAAAATTAACGGTTGTGGTACTTACCACGGTTTGTTGTTTTCATAAGTGGGTCTGACGGTATAGTCGCTGGCCCATGGTTTCATGCTCGGTTTATCCCATGGTTTTATCTCTGGCCAAGGTCGTTGTGTACTGGGATTAGCCTGCCACTTTGAAATTTTGCTCTTAGACCACGGAATTGCTTCCAATGTCACCCAGCCATTTCTATCTTCATAAGTATTTGTACCGTAGTATTTGTTTCTCTTCAAGGTATCATTTAACGCCTCGCTTAACTAAACCAGCAAAGATAACAAAAAATAAACCGACAAATCAATATCTTACTTCAAAAATAATATAACTAAAAAAAAATTAAGTTTTCCAGAGAAGGGAAAAAATTATTTTTCAATTTGACAGAAAATTACTAACTTTTAAATCCAATAATATCAGCAAAAATATTTTCTTAGCATCGTCAAATGTCATTTTCGTTTTGCGACTATTAAAAAATCATCCTTTTTAAATTGTGACAATTTTGACGATTCTTATGAAGTTATAGGGTGATGTTTATTTAACTCATTTATGGGGTAATAATTCGAAAATCATGTTTATTTACTGTCATTTTTGAAGTAAGAGAGTGATACTTTTTATTATCTAATGATAATTGCATAATAAATATTACTGCAAAATTTAAAATTATTAAAACATCATCTTTTTGCTTAATTTTTCCTTTTCTTTTTTATTCGATTATACAAAAGACAAAATACATCTTATTTTTTATTATCTAAAACATGTTTCTTACCGCATCGTCCGTTGAAGTAGCATTTGAGATTTGATCAAATTTATCGTCCTGTTCGTGGATGGTCGTTGTCTCGGTAATCTCGCTATCGATTTCAAGCATAAGAGGTTCCGCGGGTGGTTTTACAATTCTGAAGGGATATTTGAAATTCCTCTCGGTGGTGCTCTTAACTTTATTCGCGTAATCCTCGAGAAATTTATTGAGTACGTCTGGATTGAAAGTCGAAGATTCGACGAAGGAATTTCTTCGATTATACTGATCGCTCGATATCTCTTTGGTCATTCTCTCATCGGTTTGATGCCCGTTTCCCGTGTTATCGTACAGAGGATTCGGTGTGATCGCTATCGGATCGTGAAGAATCCTTAAATTGTCCGCTTTCGTTTTGAACATGTCGGACGCATTTGTTCGCATTTTCACAAAATATCTTGTGCTACCCAAAGAACCTCCTAACATCAAAATTGTCAGGAGCAGACATATCGCTCCTCTCGTCATCATCTGAAACACGAAGAGCTTTATTTTATATATTTCTCAAAATGTTATTAACAGAATTCTCATCTTTACCTGCTAAAAAGCTTTTAACACACAGTTCCACAAAGACTTAGTCCACTCAATGATTTGAATGTTTCGAAGTATTTTTTGATTATTAATTAGTAAAATTCTTTCTTCCGATTGGTCAATCAAAAACTTCGAAGCATTTGCAGCGTCAAGTGAACCACACCCAAAGTAACGGTAATATCAATATTATAATTTTTTATTCAATAATAACTGTTACATATATAACATGTGTTACATATATAACATATGAAAATTATATGGAATAATATTAAAATTATTATATTAATTTTACTTTGAATTTATCAAGTAACTATCATTATAATAATTTTTTTCAAATTTATTTTTATGCAGCTTTATTTTTCACATGAGGAAGAAGAGTAATAAATATCGCGTATTAATAATTGTGAAAAATTTTAACATTATTTTGGAAAAGAAGCAAAAATATAAATATAAAAATAAAATATTATAAAAATTGCTAAATAACTGGCAAAATCGTGTTATGTTAATGAGTTTTAGATAGATAAACAGTTAGAAAATTACGATTCGTCGAGATCGCTGTCATCATCCGGCTCGTGAACGACCACCTCGAGATTTCGCACGTCTACTTGATTTTATGAAATTCTACTGCGTGATTGTAACGCGACAGAGCGCTGAAAGAGGACGAACATTTCGCGTACACAACGCGTCGCACTAACCGTGTCGATATTAGTCGTCCGAGCCGCCTTCAATTACATGAACAAGGCCCGTGTGTCTCCCGCTCGTCGTTTCCGGAGATCCGTTAGCGGGAATTGCGGGCAACGTATTGCGCCGGCGTATGACAGCAGAATAGTAGTAACAATAACAGGAACAACAACAATAAAAACAACAACAATAATAACGACAACAGAGCGACGTTACGAAATATACGGAAGTGGAGTACGTCGGCGACCTCGACTCTTCAAGGTCCGAGATGGCTCTGTTGCCGAGACGTTGCCCTCGTTTGCTTTTAATCCAGATCCCCACTTCGTCGGTGCTTGGTCCATTTTGCATCTTCCTCCGTTCCCCGTAGTCGTTGTGTTATTCCGTTCTTACCTCCTTGGCTTGGTCAACCTGGAGAACGGGCGCCACATTGTCTCTCCTTCTCGCCAGCGATTTCCGCGCGTGTCTCTTTCTCTCATTCCACCTCGCGGTTTCTTCCTCTCGCTCCAGCCGTCATCCTATGCCACGGTTCCCCACGGAATCTTTCTCCTTCCCTTTGGATAACGATCCTTCTTGGAATACAATGGAACAACAATGGGAGGCGAGGTCAGTCATGCTGGCCACGATCGATGATCGATGGGATCGAGCCCATCACTGGCCTCCGACAAGTGAAGGATGTCTGTATTTTTGCATGAGACACTGTTGTACGTTATGCGGTACCACGGGATATAGCGGTTTTTAAGGCATTCGCTTTTCTAACAGCCTCCTGGGCGATTGAAACACAAGCCATTTCATATTCTTGTACAAAGATATATTGATTTATTTCAAAATCCCTCCGCTTTCGCGTGAATTTCTGCAGAAATAACAAACGCTAGATGACTAGAATAAAATGATGGAGATGGAAAGTTCTCTTAAATGAGGCTGAAACATCTTTCTAATTCTGTTTGCAGTTTACATTGCAAATATCATGATATTATACGTTTAGATATTAACATGTCTTAATTGGCCTATAATCTTATCGCAAAATGTTATATATTAAAATTATCGCGCAAGTATATGTATATATGGGAAGAATTACTTTGCTGAAGTATCTAAAAATTTAGTTATTATAGATACAGGTCTGAAAATTATTTTGTTGAACCATTAAAATAATTACGTGGGAATCTCGAGCATGATAAGTAATGCTGCAAAAAGTTTTGACATTCTTGCAACCAGTTTAAACGTCCTACATAATTATTTTCATATGGCCCAAGAAAATTATTTTCAGATCTGTATTTAATTAAATCTTTAATGCTTCAATAAATGTTCTGTCCGTGAATATATTGCATTAACTAAATTACAAATTCATTTATTTATTTATCAGCTATAAATAAAATTTTTAAACATTCCCCTGTTTGCTTTCATCATAATTACTAACATTTCCATCCATTAACGAATCTTTGATAACGATTCCGCTTGAACGTTAAAAGCAATCATTTCGACAAGTTGTTTACAATGCGCTCTCTCACTTATCAGCATCTCTAATCAGGCACACTTACAACATTGAAAAAATCCAGACAGTAATTCGCGCGTCTAATGCATCCGGACGAAAAGCAATGAAACGATCGTACGCAACTTGTCTTTGATTTCGCGGCGATTTTAATTGCCATTCTTAATGAGATTATTCACGCCGCTTAGAGATATACTCCGCAAAGCGAGCGATTGCTTTATGGACGAAGATATTACCGTGATTGACCGAGAAAACTGAAGTGGCGCGGAGACGGTCTCCGATCGTTTCCCCCCCATCATTACTTGTGCTCGCATTGTCCTCCTCCCTCGCTTCTCAATGCGGCGAGAGTTGTATTCGTCTTTGCCGACGATGGAAGACAACGATAATGAGAAACCGACTAGGCCGCTCGTGTCACGCGCTAATTGCGGCACTCGTGACAATCAGGGTGACGATATGACGTCGCCATAACGTTGTCGCCCGTTTGTGTGAGCGCGGCTCCGATCGGCGACAGTGTCATTTTCACGCGAGTTTTACCTTTTGTCAAATCGCTACTTTCACCGTTTAAACGTAGCAGAACTCATGTTCTGACGTGGGTCGACGGTGCTCTCTCTTCTAGGCGCGGCATGAGAAGTTTCGGCTAACCTCAGAGAGATCGCGCATGAGAATCTTTCAAGAATCCTTCTTTGGAGACCAATTTTTTACTTCGTTTACTAATTCCTATAAAAGCGTAAAATACATGAAGTTTACAGAAGAATTCTGAATTTATTCAAAAGAACTTGCAATTTTTTCTTTAGCTTCACGATCTGTTTTCTATTTATTGCAGAATTACATTAAAATAAAATACACTAATAGATTTGAATAATTTATAACGCGGTATTTATTTAAATATTTAAATTACTTTTTAATTATTAAATATTTAAATTACTTTTATTATTATAAACGTGTAAAGTTTATATTAATTAAAAATTTTAGCGTCTCTCTCTCTCTCTCTTTCATTCTGTAATGGAATATACAGATTTATTGAAACTTATAATTAGTGTTATTACGTATAATTAAATCATTCTAACGCAATAATCTCTTTTGACAAACATTACATATTACAAAAAAAAATTATTTATCTAATATATTATATTTGTTTTCTGCATATATTATACATATGATTTCAATCGTACTTACTGTGGTAGAAATGATGTTTCTGGCTGAATAACTGCACAATTAAGGACACGCCGGCATCGCGCCGTCGTAAAGGACAAAGAAGGTCGCCGTTGATTTTCATGCTCGGCAAATCGCCGATTTGGCCTTCTTCGATGTATAGTAGACGGAATCGGATCGGCGAACAAATCGTGGAATCGCCCGTTTACCGATTTTTGCGCTTTCGCGGCCCAGAAACCTCCGTCATTCCTTTTTTTTTTCTTCCTTTACCCATGCCTTCCTCTCTCACGTCGCCGATGGTGATTCCTGCTCGTCGCGCGAGTGAAACGCATCTTAACAGTTTCCGTTTTACGAGCAGCTTCCGATTCTTCCGCCAGATTTTCACCGATCTAGGATTTTTTGTCTGACGCCGACCCAGAAACGAACGATTTCTTTTCTCGCTTGTCGAACAGCTAGGTATGCTCTTTCATCGATTTCCGCTGTATCTTCGCATTTATTACATTACGTATCAATACGTGTCATTCCAAACAAAATCAATAGACACGTCCACATTGCGTCATCGTATATGTTACAATCTACATTGTATACAATTTATACATTCTTCATTTTCTGACATTTATTATCAATAGATCAAGAGTTTGCAAATTTTGGGAAGTCTTTATATAAATATAAAGTGTTGAGTACAAGTTGCAATATCTTTTTTAAAATGTTCGAAAGGAATCAACATATAAGTTTGTCCATGGTATGCAATTAGTTAGTTGATAACAATGGATCGATCTTCACTACATTGCAGAATTAGGATAATTACGTAAAATAAATCATTTCTTCTTTTATTATGAACAAGAACGAAGAAATGGCACGTTTTCAGTATTACAGAGGCATAAGGAATTTTTTTATTTCCGATTCCGGTTACTGTGGGATTGGCTGGCCTACTCCAAATCGGAATTGGATCGGTCTGGACGTCAAACCGCGAAAATGATTGTAGATGTTAAAGAAAGGGTAAAATGATCCGCATTGTGCATAGCAAAACTACTTTCATTGCCAGTCATATCAGAGGGAGAGTCGCGATGATGAAAACGATAAGAGCAAATGGAAGAGAAAAGAGCATCGCAAGATCTATTTTAGACGTCAGAATCTACGCAATGACAGAAAGTTTCAAGAAAGATTTGTGTGGATGGTATCAAATCATTTTTGTCAGATGATTAAGATTCCATAAATTTTTTAAATAAAATTATATATAATATATATAATTATACATAAAAATGTCAATTAATTAAGATTATAAAGACAATAAAAAGTAATGTATTATTGAAATAATCATCTCTTCGTAAATTCCATTAATTTCATTTATGTTATTTTCGTTTAATAAATTCTCTTCTTTCTTTACTTTTAGCTATTATTCGCTTTTATTTTTAATGAATTATTGATGCTCTATTATAATTTAATAGAGCATTAGTATAAATTTCTTTTCATATAAACGTGAAGCTAACTGTACAAGATATAAAGTTGTTTGAAGGAAATGTAAACCAACTTGTGTAAAAAGTATACTCTTCTTTTTAACATGAAAACTTTAAGGCCGATATTTATAGTTTATTCTTATTATAAGACCGTTTTAATTATTGTCTTAAGATAAATTAATACAGTATTAATTAATATGCGATTGATTTATATCTTAAGATTGTACTTGAGATAGTCTTAAAAGGTTCTATAAGAACCGACTATAAATACGAGCTTAAAATCATCCCGGAGCATATAGAACATATCAGAATGACCTCGCCACGAAACAGGGTCAGACTCTCACCGCTCGGCGATAAAACTTGGCTTAGAAAGTCTTTTCACCCCTTCCGCTCATTATATTCATGTTCCGCGAGCACTGCTAGAGCAAGTAACGTCTCGTATCTTACTTATGCAATTTAACAGTCTGGTATGTTTCGCTCGTTTCCATTTTACTGTGTACCACTGAATTTCTCTCCAGAGTTTTCTTTCACGAAGTCATATGAAATAAACGTAGAAAAACGATAATATCCAATTTCTTCATGTATACTTCAAGCTTATTTATAAATTACTTTTTTGCTACAATATTAGCTACACCATTTTTACAAAACTGCAATTACAAGATTAAAAAAAAAAAGAAATAAATTCGAAAAAAAAGCGAAGGAAAGATAATAAATTAATTACTTTCTCTTTGATTAATTGTCATTAATTTTTTTATTTTATGTGAAATTGTTTTCAAACATATGATGTTTGTCATTTACGCCATGATGCATCATGATATATAATATTACGGCTGTAGTTGCTTGAACTAAACGTCGCAGCGTCTCACTTTGTCAACGACAATTGGAGTACGAATGGTGGCAGTAATTAATTGTTCTCACGTTCACGCTTTTTAGAATACGCCCGTTGTTACTTTTGCCTTTTAACAAGTTAAAGTCACAGTACGTCGCAGCAAATGCTTTAGTACGCGGACATCTCGCAATGGAAATAACTGTTCACTGCGTCCGCTCGTCATCGCAAACGCACAAACATCATTCGTACTGATTGCTGACTTAATCAAACGAGAAACATGTGGTTGCGCAAGATCTCCAAGTGTTGCTTCCTCCTTCCTCGTCTTTTGATCATCGGCCTTACACTTGCGAAGACCCTCGAAGCGTCTGAAGAGACTCGCGAAACGAAAGTCATCTTCGAAGAGACTTCCTCGATATCAGATCAATACTCCGTTCATGAAATAACGACATCCGCTACGTTATTAAGACTGGTCACCGACAGCGACCAAGAATTAATCACACCGGCCGTCGTCGGAACCCTTTCTCGAAACGATTCGAACATCTTCAAGCCTAGCCGGCATTTGGGCGAAATCGAGCACCCGATCATCAGGAATCCCTTTGATAACGTTCAACATGTGAGATTCGAAAACAACGTTAATCTGAATGGACAGCGTGAACGGATTCAGAATATTCTTCAGGATGCGTATCAGGGTGTCTCCAGTTTGCTGGATGAAGCGACGCGATCGAGCAAAATTAAGTTCGAGGATGACGATATAGTACAAACGTCGAACATCCGTCATTCTTTCCATGATCAGCAGGCCGTTACGGAGAGTTCGAGATCACAATATGAACAAGGCGCTGTCAGCCACATGTTTGCCGATCAGACATTCTTCCAAAACGTTAAGAAGCCAGAGACGCAAGACATGTTCGGGAAAACGACGACTGATTATCAATCGACCGGTATTTACGATGTCTTAAAATCGCCGTACGTCATCAATTATTATGTCGATCAGAATCAGAATGCTTATCAGCCGGCGTC